GATTTCTGGGAGTTGAAGTCCAAGAACATCTGGAGGCCCAAGGTTGGGGATCACTGCTCCAGATCATTCACACCAACTCTTTAACAAATGTCTAATGGCCTTTTCTGGCCTTCCTGATGAAACCCATATTGGCTTCTTATTCGTTGATGCTCTCCTTGTTTTTCCCCTGGTTCTCCTTTGTGTCAGATTTGCCCCAGTTCCTTCATTCCTGTGACTTGAGTAGAATTCGAAGGGGTCCCAGGAAAGCATCTAGACCCCCTCTCCATGCAGGAAACCCACACCCATCCTATTGCCAGTGGAGGAAAGCCCCCTGCATCTTGAGGTGGTCTGTTCTACCACGGAAAGCTTCTCTTGCCATTAGGATGGTCTTCCTAAGGTTTAGTCAGAATCTCCCATCCTGCCACTAGGATCCACCAGTTGGGTTATCCGGAGTCACAGAAAGCAAGCTGTCAGGCGTCTCATGTCCTTCAGATATTTGAGGATGGTTCTCTTGTACCTCAATTTTTTTGGGGGGGATAGTCGCTCTTAGTGACCAAGCCCATGTGCGCACCTGCCTTCATTCTTTTCTTTGGGCTGTGCAGAGAGATGGAGTGGGGAAAGTCCCTTTTTGAATCGGGACTCTCAGAAACCTCCAGCCTGTATGCAAAATTCGCATCCCCTGTCGGAAGGGCTACTGCTTTTCAACAAATCATTGCTCACTCTTTCCTCTTGAGAAGAGCAGGGGAAGATTTTTCAGAATACTTCCAGCAGAATTTTCTGTTCTTCCAATTTTGCTCAAGGAAAGGAAGGCAGAAACACCGAGGCTTGAGTGTCCAACCTGACCCTCCTTTTTTCTCCTAACGACAGACTGCGGTTTAATATATTCGCGAAGGCTTTCATGGCCAGGATCTAATGGTTGTTCTGGGTCTTTCAGGCTCTTTGGCCATGTTCTGAAGGTTGTTCTTCCTAACATTTCGCCAGTCTCTGTGGCCATGGGCATCTTCAGAGGACAGCAACTTGTGGCCCAGAGCACAGGTTGCTGTCCTCTTAAGATCCCGGCCACAGAGACTGGCAAAACGTCAGGAAGAACAACCTTCAGAACACGGCCAAAGAGCCCGAAAAACTCAGAACAACCATGGGAACCTTTACCTTAACCTTGAGCACTTCGTATCTCTGCAAAGAGTAGCTCGTGAATTGCAGGGAAGGTGATCTGGCTGGATCTTGGTTTGGGGGATAGTGGCTCGACAGTGTCTGCGAAGCAACCAACATGAATTTGACCCAACTCCGGGAGGCAATGGAAGAGAGGAGGGCCTGGCGTGCTCTGGTCCATGGGGTCACGAAGAGTCGGACACGACTAAACAACTAAACGACGACGAGTCATTGGATTGTGGGGACACCTCTGAGTTTCATTAAAAGCCCCCTTGGCTGGCTGTCATTCCACTGCAACCAGGTTTCCTTGGATTTTGTCTTTTAATAATGTAAGCCACACTAGGTAAAAAAAATGATAAATAAATAAATAGGCTCCTTTCAACTTTTATGATTCTATGAAAGGAAGGAAGGTTTCTCCACTCCTGGCATCCCAAGAGATATGGGGGGGGAGAGAGAGAAGAAACAACACACATACACACACACACCTCTCCCTCTACAGAACCCAGCTGGCTCTGAAAAGGGACCTTTTTTTCCCCTTCTCCTCTCCTTCCGGAACCCTTGAGTTGTGGGTCTTCCTCGGAGGGGAGGGGAGGAGAGGGGAGGGGGCTCCCCTAGGACATCTTCCCCCCCAGGCAAGGACTGGGGTCTCTCCCCCACACAGAGAGAGAAAGAGAGAAATCCCACGGGCATTTTTGGGGAGCCCTCGGCCCCCTCCCTCAGCTCAAGCCCAGCAGTTGTCCCCGGGGGGGCGTCACCTGTTCCTAAACCCTTCATCCTAAAACAAGCATCCCCACTTGATGGGAGGGGTCTTGTTGGGTTTTGGGGGGGCATGAAGCCCTTGCTCAGGGAGAGGATTAAGGTGACCATTAGCTAATTTGGGGAGGGAGAGAGAGAGAGATCTCAAAGGGATCAGCCTCAGGGCACTGGCAGAGTTTTGGGAGTCCAGGGTTTGGGATGGGCCGGGGGGTTGGGGTTGGACCAAGACTGTTCCGAGCTTGTGCCTTTCTATCAAGGACAAAGAAAAAAAAGTTTGAGGAAATAAAATCCCGAAGTGTAGAAGAATCCCTCTATGCAAACGTGCGTTCTCGGTAGGTTAGGCTGGTGGTGGAGCAGGAAGGGAGGAAGGCCAGTGTGAGGGTTCACTATTCTTCACCTCCCCCGTCCCAAAT